CTATATATATATAGACACCTACCAGTACCCATGGATCGGACGGCCAGTCAACAAAAAATATGTTCTGATCTTACCCTAGATGGCTCAAGAACCGTGGGGATTCACTGAGCTTCTGAGTGTACTGCCCAAAAGAAGCCCACTTTTTGAGCCTTGTCTGCCATGATGAAAACACCAGCGTTGTCCGCAAGTTGAAAGTCTGCCAACTCGAAACAGGTTGAGGCCACTGTTGGACAGCTCTTACCCATGGCTTTCCAAAAACCATGGGGCTTCAAATCACCTGTCTGCCCTGTTGCCATTTGGGTATGTGTCAAATAGAAATAGGGGACCCCGCAAAAAAAAAAAAAAAACTGATTTCGGCTTGCTTCTAACGGTCCTTTATTTTTAGCCTTGCGATCATAAACATTACATCAAAAAACAAAAACACAAACAACCAGGACCAGCACACACACACACACACACACACACACACACACACACACACACACACACACACACACACACACACACACACACACACACACACACACACACACACACACACACACACACACACACACACACACACACACACACACACACACACACACACACACACACACACACACACACACACACACACACACACACACACACACACACACACACGGGGACACACACACACACACACGCGCGCGCACCAAAAAAAAAAAACACGCCCGCCCATCGTGTGCCATGTGTCACTCAGCAGCCGCCTCCTGGGCTCCACTTTAAAGATGGCCTCGGTCCAGTTCACTTGGGCCGCCTGCAATGACGAGGCGCCCCAGAAGTGCCGGCAGTGCCTCACGTCCGTGGAGCTGTCGGCGTGGGGGCGGCTGACTCGTGACAAATCCGGGGGGGGGGGGGGTGCAGCTGCCGCGTTCCGTCGCGTTAAAACAAAACAAAACAAAACAACGCAACCTACGCTGCCTAAACAGGGCCAATCAGGCGATCAGAGGGAGACGTGGGAAAACGTGAACTGGGGCAAAATGGAAAATGAATGAAACCCGCAGCAATGAACATTTGAACATGTATTGAGAGCCCGGACAAGCCTTTTTTCCTTTACACTTCAACCAACAGTTGGCATTCTAAATCTGTGTGTCAAAATAGCGGGCTTAAAGAAATCGAGCAATTCCAGTTGGTTTCCGTTTAAAATGACTCCAAAAGGACCCTAAAACACACTGGCCCACAACACCCCAGATGCGTGAACAGGTCCCATGCATCCCTGTCCCCAGTCGCGCGTCTCTTCGACTCACCGCCCAGAATTCCCCCCCCCCCCCCCCCAGCAGGCACAAACGCTTCCGGCGTCTTCCAAAGAAGTAGAGTTGCTGAGTGATACTGTGGATGGACGAAGTCCTGCGCCACTTTCAAAAATCATGGGCAACAATTGTTGGTTGGTATTTACAAGGGAATCGAATCATTCCAGGGTTTTCTTAAGCGGTGCAGGAGTTCGTCCTATGAAAAGTAGTTCGGTCTCTTGTGGACTTGCGACATGGGCTCAATCAAGTGGGAAAACTCCATGGAGCCCGCTCCCCTGTCCATTTCTTTGCCCCCCAACGAGGGGGGTCCCTTTTGAATCAATTGGCTTGAACCCCGTGGAACAAATATGTGCAGTAGTGATAGTAAAAGATCCCCTTAAAACCACCAGCAGAACATGAAAAAAACAACTTCCTAGTCAAATGGAAGCTTTTCGGAACCCAATTCTGGGTGCGGAATCAAACCTCCAAACAAAAAGATGATTATATGTATGTGTATAAATATATTATATATATATATACACAGTATATTGAAACAAAAAAAGAAGAAGCAAAAACAAAACGCATGAGTCGCCTGAGCCGGCAGGGCGAGCTCTCCGGCGGCACTTCCAAGGTGTTGAGCGCTTGCGGCAGGCAGAGCTGCACGTAGTCCGGAAGCCTCTCGAGTTGATCTCTCGCTCGGAACATCGAAGAACGTGTGGACCCCATAGGACACATCCACCCAGCAGTCTATTAAAAAGGGTCCCGGTGTCCCTGGGTGAAATGTGGGAAATCAGACGACTTTGAGTTTATTAATACTCATAATGTGGGACTCTCTTTAATGCAACCCCCCCCCCTCCCCGGAACAGTGGAACCAGTCAGCTGGAGTCTCTTTGGTTAAATCCTGGGAGTCTCATCAACCAACCAGTTTATTCATACTGTGGATGCACGAAATCCTGCACCACCTAAGAAGTCCCTGGTTGGTTGATTTGTCAATGGGGTCAACATTAGATCCGATACCAACGAGCTCAAAGCCAAGCCCGATCAAACACATGTTGCATAAACAAACCTCAGCCTGTTCATGGTGAAGAAACCTGGAGCCCAATCAAACAGCCATGATTCATGAGTTTGAGTTTGGCGACCCGTTGACCTGACAAACGGAAACCACTACTTCACGCCGTTGGCACATAAAGCAAGCCTGAGATGTGGCTCCGGCATTTTGCAACACAATTAAGTCACTCCCAAAGAAGAAGGTTCCAGAAAAAGCCAATGAGCCCTGAATTGGTAAAACAGCTGTGGCAATCCTAAAGCAGCGATTTGGCCGTGTCTTTTTGAGGAACCCCAACAAACGGGGGGGTTGCCTTGTGGTGTCCCTGTAAAGCCACGGACAAAAAGGGTACTCTCAAAAACCACACCCCCATTTCAACTTGCACAGCTATTTTAAGTCAAAGGTGCAATGAGCAGTCAGTCAAGGCAGGTTTCCCATTTTGCTTTGAACATCCACATTTCTGCCTGAACTGTCCAGACTTCTTACCCCCGAGTAACAAGCCACTCAAGATTCCTCCAGAGTCCTGGTCCTGTTTTAGTGGTGGGGTTCATTTCTTTCAATGGCCCGAAACTGTGTCGTGAGAGCCATGAACGCAAACACAAAGATTGACTCTCGCCTCAGCCGTTCTTTTGTTCGAGCACAACGAAACATCTCGGGGTTTCTGTTGGCAGCGTTCTGAGAAGGATCACAATGGAACAACTAGACCCCTTCCAGGGACATTTAGAGCTTACCAGGTTTACAAAGGGCCTTTTACCGTGCTTGTTTAGATTCTGATGGACGAAATCCATTTCGCACCACCGAAGAACGAACGAAGTGCCCTGGGAGGGCACTGGGAGAGCACTGGGAGACCACCCGCTGGAAAACTGCCCTGGTGCCATGTGGGGAGGGAGATGTCAGAAGAGCAAAACGTGTCCTTAAACAAATCCTTGGAGTCTCCATGACCCTTTAAAAGTAGGTCTATGACCCAAATATTTAGGGTAACAACCCCATTTTTAAAGGGTCAGAAGATGTCAGAAGGAGACTCTAGGTCCCCTTAACGTGTCCTTAAATACCTCCCCTTGGGCGATTTCGCCAGGTTTGCCCTACAAATCCCGTCCATCGAGCCATGTCGAGCCGTGTCGAGCCGCAGCAGGGCATCGAGGGCTCGCCAAAAGGCGCCGCCTTGCAGCAGAAGCGCCACCACTGTGCCCACCTGGCGGAACCGCCAAAAAGAGATTTGCTGCGGCTTCTCGGATGCTAAAGAGAAAGAGTCGCTTTTCAGAAACCGAAAAAGGCACACCGAAAGTAAAGACACCGTTTTTGTGGGGTCCCACTACTTTGCCACATACCCGTTTGTTTGGTTCCCTTTGGGAGTCCGATTTGTTTGGAGACACAACTTCAGGTTGCGACTCTTTGCCTTTCACCCGACGCACTGGGGAGAAGTGCTGGAAGAGCTCGGATTCCCGGTGATTTGGGCCGCAACCGCCACGGATTTTTAAAACACGTTGCCATGGGACCCACCTGAGGCCACCTTAGATGCTTCTGTGGATGTCTTTGCTAGGGAAGCAAGTAGGACACCTCGTCCGGCATATCTTTTCAGGGAACCTCGTCCCACACATCCCAAGGGAAAGCGCCTGGCACACAGACACACACCCGGAGCACGTAAAACTATCTGTTGCTTCTGTATTGACCATGGATCCTTGTCAAAAAAACAGAAACACATAATATGGGCGAACAGCATCTGCACGGGACACCCCTGCCGAGTGCCCACCGAACACTGGAATTTCTCCATGTCCATTCCGGCCGGCTTGATCGAAAGCGCCAAAAGAGCGTTCCCTCACATGCCCGAAACACCATGAAGAAAGGAGAGCATCCTATGGCCAACAAGGAGGTGGACTATTTTGTCGGTCAGCGTCTGACATCTGAAACCTTTAAGGTCTAAGATTGAACTATCAATCAGAAGGAAACTTATCCCAGCACCCCAACCGCAGCTTTTCGGTGACCATGCTTGGGATTTTGCACATGGTTGAAAAAGCCGTTGGGGGCATAGGTGTCCTTTTTGGAAAAAATAGATGGCCCTGGTAGTTGATTGAAGGTAATTAAAGCAGGGCCCTCTATATTTCCACCAAATCAACCAAAAAGGACACCTTTGGCTGAGATGCTGGCCTGGAGTGATACCCTATTTTGGCGTAGGGAAATCCAAAGCCCCCAAATTGGGCAGACCCTCAAAACGACCGATCCACATGGCTGGGGGGGTGAAAGCTGAATCAGAATCTGAACTCCAAAAAGGACGCTCGGAAGTTCTGAAGCCAAGGTCCGCTAGTTGTGACAAGGACATCTTCAAATGAGCCCAGCCAAAGGCTAGAAGCTCCTTGGAATACTGAGAGCCTCTGAGGGGAAGGGCCTCCAGGTCCGAATGTCCCTCCAGTAAAACCCTCCAACATCACTCTGCCCAAAAAGAAACTTAGCTCAACATGATCTAACCGCCTGTGCAGGGAAATTACACATGGGTGAGCCAACGCAAACTCCTGGATGATGGGGTCCCCTGGGTCCCCTGTGGATCCGTAGATTTTCCCTTGACTGGGACCCAATGATTAACGTTGATAAATACAGATGATCCGATTTGGAAGCGGGACCAACCTCCGGTAGACCTGAACCCCCAACTGCCAAAATTCCCCAAGGTTGATCAATATTCCGGGCCCCAACATGACCACGGGTAACTCTCCCCATGTGGGAAATATCACATATTTTTAGTGGTCTTCCAACCAATGGTCATCTCACGTTTACCAGACCATTTGATCAACCCCCACGTAGTCACAATCAAAACCCGGTATCAAAACGGTGTACCCAGAACCCTCTAAAGAATTGACAAGGCGGCCGCACCCATGTATGGTTGGGATCCCTTACTAATTAACCTTCATCTGCCCGGGCGTCCAAAATCTGTCCAAAACGCCGTCGCTGATCCCCGGGCTGGCCTGAAGACCACTCATCAGCGCGCGCCGGGACCAGTCACGCAGAGAGTCCTCCACATGCCTCACAAAACCGAGCCGGTTGCCCTCCCTATACACCAACCCCGGGATTCCATTTGCCTCTATAGTAGCCATGGAAACGGTCCCAAAAGCAACTTGGTTCCCCGCCCCTCCCCCCAAAAAAAAGCGCGGCGCCCTCAGCGCACTTGGTTCCTGCATTTCGCTTCCGATCGAACCAAACTTGTTGTTTACCACTAAAATGGTTCAAACCCAAAAAGCGACTGAAGTCCGGGAACTCGGGAAGTGAGTTACAACCATGGAAACCACTCTTCGAAAGCCAAACAAAACGGCTGGTTCCTTTGGTTTCCCTGTAAGAGGTGAATCAGGGCTGAGACCCCCAAGCTTTCAGCTTGGGGAATTTGCCTCGGCTTTTGCCTCTCGCCCCACCCCCTTTTCTCCCCCCGCCCCCCAACAAAAAAGGAAAACAAGTTTCTTTCGGGTCCATAGCGAACTTCAAACGGCAAGATCATTGAGAGATCCATCCAATGATAGTTAGGGCAATGGGCTTGTATCCCCGCCTTCTTGGTTCCAATAGCCATGGCCATACTTTTGTCGCTGCCGACAATGGGGGACCTTTGGATATCATTGGGAGAACAATCATTTGTCCCTTCGGAGAATAGTCTTCCAGAACCGCCAGTCAGCTTCCACGATTGCGTTTGAGGGGACCCTCACAAACAACCTCCGGAAAAATCACAGTGGGGTCTGAATAATCATTAGCTTGTCTTCCCATGGTCACTTGCTTTAGCTTCATGGTACCAAAAACATTCTAAGCATTCAGACTCTTGTATCCGCAAGAACCGCTTCTTCCTTTCACCCAAATTTGTGTCCTTGCAACGCTGGGTGTTTCTCAAAGTTGCTGGGGGGGCCCTTTTAGTGTCCTTTGAAAACCATCCAAGGGGTCTATGGACCCGGACTTCTCAGACCGGCCTGGCGGTTTTCGCCAGAGAAGGCCAGGAAGAATCACTGCGGTTCACCGAGCGCAGCAGCTCCAAGTTGGCGGCGAGGAGATCTGGCAGCTGCTCGGCGTGTTCGAGCTCCTTGCGTATTTTGGGGAATTTGGACACCAGGACATGAAGTCTGATGGAGAATGGATCATCTTAAGAAAGGAACTGAAGAAAGTCAGTAGAAACACAACCTATTTTGCGCTTCTCCTAATTGAGAAACACGCCCATGCGGTCGCGTTAAGTCACATCAATGCGCGTGAAGTCACATCGCTGCATGGTCACGCGCACGCGCGCGAAGTCACACCAGCGCGCGTGAAGTCACATCATGAGTCATGATTTGCATGGCAACCACACTGGTCACGAGCTCCACAGTGTATGCCGCGCTCTGCTGCAAAACTGGCTGTTTGCGTCCAGCAGGTTTCCAGCGAACAACTGATGACTTTTCATGCGCTTCCCCACTGGCCACGCCAGTTTTCTGGTCACCAAGTATTTGAGTTCCAAAGCCAGCCGCGAGAATGCAAGGGCCAGCAAACATAACGCATGCAATTGATGTCTTGCTGTGCGTTTACCCACCGACGCACACAACGGCCGGTTGCCTGCTGAAATGCTTTCCGCACTGGCCACACGCGATCGACGCGCCTTTAGACAAGCCGACGCGACTTAAGTCTACCCCTTCTATGTAACCTTGATCTTGGCCACTGCAGGTGTTTTGAGGGACCCTCCCCGCCAACATAGACCGTAGCGGGTTCTCCTCTAGAAGGGACTTGTTGGTGGGTTTCATGCTCGGTGGGAGGCCAGGGGCCGGCTAAAGCCTGGGTGGGGGGCTCGAGGGAGGCGCAGGCCGATTTCGTCATCCCATCCCCCCCTACCGATAGAGGGGGAGGGGGGTGGGGAAAAGGCCCCCATTCCATCCACATGTTCCCACACAGAAAGCGGCTCACCACAAATGGAGATCTCCAGGGGTCGAAATCTCCCCTGCCGAGGGGGGGGATATCATACAATCGGAAGTGCCAAGCTCGGATCAGTCCCCATTCAACGCACCTGGGACCTAAGGCTCCAATACCTTGTGATGCCTACCTCGACTCCCCCCAACCCCAAAGCGACCACCGCTGAAAGTGGCTGGTCTCCTTGCTATCCTTGAGCAGACGCTCGCGCAGCATGGGCAGCAAGTAGCCAGCGTCCTCGCCTAGCAACAGAGGTGCCGACTTCACAGAAACCAACTTCAGCAATGCTCAAACCACGTTGTTGTTGAGTTCTACAAACATAATAAGAGCCACCTACCCCTCCCAGGCATGTACACAGGCGTGCGACGGAGTGCCTGGGCGGGTGTGCGTCTCCAAAACTTATCCCGCTTGCTAAAACCACCCCGCCCTGTACCTTCTCAAACCAAGTAACCGCACCACTCTGGCTTGTGGTTGGATAATTTGAAAACAGTCGGGAGTCTTTCGCTGCCAACCTGTCCGCCCCCGTCCCAATTTGACTCTGGACGAATCAGCCTTACGGATTTAGTTCCGGGTTCCGACAGAGTGACAATTTCATTCCATTCATTTGGAATACAATCCAAATCCTATGATTCGACAAGGAGTTTACGAATCCTGGTTTCCTGTATGGTGCATCTTTGTTTAAGGGGAACCCTGAAATGGTGGTTCCCTGTTGGTTTTCCTTTCGAACCACCAAACAAAGGTTTCCCTTAAGAAAAACACACCCACATGTTGATGGTAGCTGTTGGAGCAATAACCACATATTTAAGACACGTTGGATCGTTTGCGATGCGTCCCCTGGCCAAGCAACATAACACAACTGTGTAAACAACTCGATCCAACTTCATCCAAACATCACGAAACCAGAAGACAATGCTCGAAGCACTCTAAAAGAGACGTTTATATATGTTGATATATAAAGAATATGATATAAAAATCATCTAATATCATATTATACGGACGCTGCTGAAGAACAATAATCACAACATCAAACCCCTGAGCAGGCCCTGTCTTGGGAAGACCTCATGACTACAACTCCACTGTGGAAAATCCATCAAACGCCCATCTGGGTTGCCAGAAGCTTTTGAACGAGCAAAAGGTCGAGAGCTGCAGTCCGACGGGTCCGACCAATGGAATTTGGGGCAACTCAAAGTATGGGAGTGGATCAATATTCTGTTCCGCCCCCCAAAACTTGGCCATGAACTCGTAACTTTTCCCATGGAATTCCAACCAACAGTCATCTTGTGTTTATCGGACCTTTTGATCAACCCCCATATGGGTGTGGCTCAAAATTAAACAGGAGGAGCAAACCGCAGGTTTTGGTCCATGTTTCCACTTACCAGGAATCCATTTTGGAATTCCGGTTTTTGAGCCACAGCCATATATTGTCCTTACACCCCGCTTCAGCAGCTCGTTGTGTGGTGGGGCCATGAACCGCAAAAAAAGCCCGAGTTCTGCATATGTGGCCTCCTAAGGCTACCCTAAAGCGGTAGGAAAGCACCCCTTTCTTGGGGGGAGTTCTACAAAAATCGATTGCTGACTTTCAGGCCAGGGATCCAACCGCTTTCGACTTTCGCATGGTTTTCAATGGAAACCACAAAGACACCACCTCCATTTTCTTTGGGGGGTGAGGGGTTCTTTGGTGTCTTTTGTTTTTTGGGGGGGGCTGGGGGTCCTGTTTTCCTTCAAGACACCGCCAAGTCCAACCCCCCGCTCGAGCATCTCCGAGCCCGCGAGCGCCCCGACTGCCCGCGAGCGACCATTCGAGACGCCTTCGCCGCCGAGGAGCCGTTGGAACTCGCGGCTCAGGGACGCCAGCAGCGCGAAGGTGCCCCAATTCCTTGGGCGGTGTAGATCCCCCAGCAAAAAGAGGGGAATATGAGGGGAATATGAGGGGAATCATGAGGGGTTGAAAGGAATCATGAAAGCAATCCCCAAACCTTTTAGGTTTTGCCTTAGTGGTACTGGTCATTGGGGATCCCCCCTTAGTACTTTGCCTTCCAAGGGGATCCTTTTAGGTCTTCAATTTCCCTGGTCATCCTTAGTGGTAGTAGCTGGTTTTCATTTGGCAAAGTTAAACTTTTTGCTGGTTAAAAGGAAATATGAGGATCCAAAAAGTGAAAGTCTAAAGATGCAAACCCAATAGCATACTTCTTGCTGGTTAAAAGGATATATACCAGGGGAATCCCAAGAGTTGAAGTCTAAAGATCCAAAAAACATAAGGATCCAAGCCAAAAAAGCAAAAAACAAAAAACATAAGGATCCAAGCCGAAGGATCCCAAAAACATAAGGACCCAAGGCATCCAAAAAGCAAACGTAAGGATCCAAAAAGGTGAAAGTCAGGTCCAATAGCAGAGCTTCCCCCGCGCCACCGCGGGCCACGTGGCGCCGCTGCCCCACAGCAGCGCCTCAGCCCCAAGAAAGGCGAGTTTAAACAGGCCGGATGCGTGAAACAACACCTGAGCATTGCAACTTGCTTCTAAATGGTGAAGCTTCCAACTTTATGTTGGTGGAAAAACTGACTGTTTTTTGCAGACCCCCAGCAAAAATGAACAGAACCGAAAAACTAAAAAACTAAAAAACAGCATGCGACACAATGCGGGATGGCGTTCTCAGTCCTTTGACAACCAGGGATACAGTAAGCCGTATACATGCAGCATCTCAACCTGAAAATCGCTGGATAGACCTCCAGCAGCCCAATCACAAATATACAGCGGAAGAAAGCACTTTCTTCACGGAGTCGTAAGCCATACATGCATTGTGAAATCTGAACAAAGACATGCAAGGCAACTATCTATAAGTTGGGTGAGATCAGTTTTAACCCCCCCCCCCCCCCAAAAGCATGGTGATTTTCCAGCTTTCCTTTTAAACCCGCAACCCCAAAACGGGTACCCCCCAAAAAAAACTAACGGAGAGACCCAGTGATTCATTAATTAAAAAAAAAAATGTTGATTTTAGGCCCCCGTGACACAAAAGAGCTATCCTCCCCCGCCAAAAAGAAAGAGAAAAAAACTACTCCCCCCCCCCAAGAAAAAAGCACAAAAACAAGGACCAACGCGGGGGATGCTCTTTGTGGCATCGCTCGTTTTCCCCCGGTCCCCCGGTCCCCCCGTCGTTTGACCGACCGCCGAGGCCTGGAAGAGGACCACCCGGTTGGGCCGAAAGAGCACCTTCCTCGCGGCCGGGGCTCACGGGGCTCGGCGTGCCCCCCTACTCCAAAGACCAACGCTTTTTTCAGGGTACTTTTGGGAAAACCGATCGGTTTTCCAGGGTAGATACCTCCTTTTTTAGAGGGTCGACATGATACCCTGAAAAAAGAGGGTATGTGGAGTAGGGGCTCCTGGCTCCCCAACCTTTCAATGGACGCCTCCATTAGACACCGGTGGTTGGGGGTCTCAAAACCAGGTCGTTTTGAAGGCCCTAGATCAATCGGGAGCTTCTGGGTTGAAAGAATACCCGAAACGAATGCGAGTCCCAAAGGGAGTGTGTGTGTGTGTGTGTGTGCGCGTGTCTCAAAGGTTCGTTTGTGGAGAGTACCCCTTTCTTTGGTGAGGGCACCCCTTGTTTTGGATTTAAAGGGAAACCAAAAGCAAAACTTAATGGGGTATCCAGACAAGGCAGTGCGCAAACTGGCTTCTGCGACACCCGGAGCTTTCGGGTCCACCAAAAGATGAAACGGCGGTCGGAAAACAGTTGGACAGGAAAATCGAACGGGCCCCAAAGACTTCTTGGCTCGGCCAGAAACAAACGTACTCTTCGCCTGCTGCCTCATTAGGCAACATACTGAAAAGCCTTAAGAACTAGCCAAGCAATGAGACGACAAATTGATGCACAAACAGTTTGTAAAATCGACATGACAAGAGCACTCACAAGGCCCACAAGAAAACAACCAAAAACAATGCGGCGTCAGAGAAAGGGCACAATGCACCAAGCAGGGCTTGCCTATCGATCGCCTTTCAGGGAATGAAGTGATCCTAATGGATATTGTGTGGGGAACCTTCTTGGAGTGGCCCCTTTGAAGTGCCATCTCGATGGCAAACATTATTGTGAACCAAGCAGCAACATGTATCTCCGGGAAGCCACAAATATCTTAGTAAAGCGGAGGTCGTTCGCTTTGAGCCCCTCTCAAGCCACAAGACGGGCTCCCATTTGGTGAGGATGCCCCTTACAAATTAGATCAGTCAGCATTAGCCTCTGACCTCTGCAGAGTTGACTGACCAGAAGCCAGCTTCGACTGATTGGCTCTGAAACACTTGCCCACAACAAGTGTAAGTATTGCTAATTCAAGAGGCAAGGCCAACTTTCTGTACATGTTGACAGATACTAAGAAACATGCGCAAACACGAATTCGCGATTTTTTTCTCCAGCCACCGGCCCAAAAGCGGGTGACTCCGAAATCCATCCATCTCGCATCTCTTGTAGTCGAAAGGGTCCCAAACCCCCGGAGCTCTCCTTTAGAACCCTCCTTTTGAACGCTCCCCTTTTTCCTCCCTGAAACTCAGATGCCCAGTGGCCAATCGAAAATAGAGGGCATCTGTTTTTTGTTGGTTGACTTTAAAAGAGAACCCTTACCCAAAAAAGAGAAAAAAAGGGCACCACTGGGCAACTGGGGAAAGCTACCCCAAACCACCCCTTACGAGCCGATCTACCCGGGATTGACCTCAAATCGCTTTCAGCGGAAAAACAACAACAACAAAAAACGAATGCAGGACCTGTTGGCATCATGAGGTGTTGGTTTGCTTGAAACTGTCTTGGTCTGCAAGGTATCCCAGCCAAAACATGGCTCCTGAAAAGGGACTTTTCACAACACACCACTTCTCTAGCCTACCAAAACCACGAGCCACCCCTTGCATTTCCTCCCTGTGAAGCATGCATGAAACATCGCGAAAAACAAATCATTTCAGCCCCACGCCACAAAAATCGCGGAACAACAACCAAAAACCAGAGCAACCAAAACCACCGAGAAAGAAAAAGGAGCCAAAAAGCGGAAAAAAAAACAGAGCAACCAAAAACCCCGGAGAAACAAACAAGAAAAACACAAAGAAAACGCGCCTCCCACCTCCCTCCACCCCTTGTCCGAGCTTCAGCGCCTCCGGCCCCGGGCCAAGTCCCCAGGCCAAAGCCTCCGCCGCCTCCGCCGCCGAAGCCTCCGCCGCGGCCCGGAGCCGCTGGGCGGCGAGCTGCGCCGCCAGCAGCTCCACGGTCCAGCGGGCGGCCGGGCACCTCCAAGCCGAGGTTTGGGATCGATCGGCGTACTCGATTTTGTTGTTTGGTCCAAGAAGTGGACTTCCGGGGAAGTCCGAAAGGGAAAAACCACCAAACACACGGCTCTAGATGGATTCGCGCAAGGAGATGGGGCTTTGGTCGGGGAAGTTGACCTCCAGGTGTCGCGAGGAAAAACGGCGACCTGGAGTCTCCTTCTGACCCTTTCAAAAATAGGTCCATGACCCCATTGCTTGGGGTAATGACCAACCATTTTTAAAGAGTCAGAAGGAGACTCCAGGTTTGGATGGAGTCCCGAACAAAGGAGATGGGGCTTTGGTTTATCTCGGGGTCATTCCATTGATCTTTTTCCACACCCATACATGGGCCCAGGTCACAACCACTTGGGTTGAAAAAAAAACCCCGTGGACAACCCTTGTATCCTTATGCCTCAGTATCGGTCAGTATCGTTTTTTTTTCCTCTGCATCGGTTTGCAGTGTTTTGGCAGCTCTGGCTCGAAAGTCGCGACTTTTCCGTACAAGTGTAGTATGCGAAGTACACTCTGCCAGCTCCCAGCCCCAGCTGGAAATCGCAACTTTCAGTACAAGTGTAGTACACAAAGTACATTTTGGCAGCTCCAGCTGGAAAGTAGCAACTTTTCAGTAGTATGCGCAGGACACTTTGGCAGCTCCGGCTCGAAAGTCGCAGCTTTTCAGTGCAAGCAAGTGTAGTATGGTGTAGTATACGAAGTACATTTTGGCAGCTCCACAGCGGCAGTCGCAACTTTTCAGTACAAATGTAGTACACAAAGTACATGTTGGCAGCTCCAGAGAAGGCTGCAGGGCAGCTGGTTGGATTCGGCATGGCGGCCAATGAGTTGGGTATCGGTTGGGTATCGGTTTGGGTATCGGTTTGGGCCCTGCAAATTTATGATTCCGCAATCTTGGTTTGCGACAACAACTAGGACCTGATGTGTGCCTTCATGGCTTCTGGGGGTATCGTTTTTTTTTTTTCCTCTGTATCGGTTTACAATGGTTTTGGCCTGCGAAACAAGTTAAGGGACGGCCCCTTACATAACGAAAAGGCGCGGGGTATTTTTTTCAGCCCACTTGTTCAACCATGTCCAAAATCCCCTTGGAACCCCAACCAAAAGGCTTTTGTTGGGACCAGGGTGTTGGTAGGGATTGGGACCCTGAAGCAAAAGCCAGACCCAAAAGGTTACTCTCAAAACACACACACACACACACATCTATCCCGGGAATGGTTTTCTGGGGCAAATAAGCTATAGTTAGACCCCCCCCAAATAATAACATGGCCCCCTTCAAGAGGAGGTACTTCCCATAGGGCACTAAGTTGGTGCGGGGATGCGGAACTCGAGAAGTTATTTTTGGAGGGTTTACGTAGAACCAACCTACAAGTAGACTGCCCAATAAAATCCAAAATGTCGAGCGGCATCCTCACAAAGAGACAAACAAATAGAGGATACCCCAATTCTACCTTCGCAAAACTAAACTGTAAGATATTTTTAAGCGTCACCCCTTCTCTTTCCACAATGAGTCTTTGAGGGGGTGAGGATTGCAGTAGTCAAAGTTGGAAACCGTTGTTGTAATCACATGTAGCAGCATGGCCGTCGGAGCTGCGGGGCCCGGTACAGCAAGCTGTCAGAGACTGAGACGACACGGCTTAGAATGATGTCAGACAAAAAACATAACCCCAAACTTATTGGCTGGAACAAACTCAGTCCTTGGTTGCTGTTGACCCTTCTGCAAAAAGTTTAACTTTGTGTTGCGGAAAACCCCTTGATTTCAACCTAAAAGTTAAAGTCTATAGATCCAACCCAATAGCAGCCAAGAGTAACGCAGCCCTAAACAAGTATACGAACATGTACGTGCAGTGACGCCGACCCATCGCATCATATGGGTGCTACAAGTGATTCTTCGGGCAACAGCACTGTGAGTTTCAGCTCTGCCTCCAGAGAGGTTAGAATAAGGGTACCATATTTTATTTTTGTTTTGTATTCTATGTCTATGTTAGTAGGGGAACCCTCCCCCAAACAAGGACTGGGGGACGTAGCGGGTGTTGGAAACTTCACATGGGCTGCTTTTAAACATGGCTTTGTCCATTTGTTCGTGGAATATTTGTTCTTTAGATTCTAAAACCGCAAAACAACGGTAGCCTCGAGCAAAGACACCACCACATGCACCGCATCGCGGCTAAGAGAAAGTGCATTGGCGGCATGGGGAATTCGACAGCAAACTCGGACTTCATACTGAGGGGTTCCCGTAGGGGATTCTGAACCTCTTCCGCACACAGAGATCCCATCGTTTTCTGCACGGGCTTCACCAAGTACAGAATGCTCCGACCACATCGACCCACGCCTACCGGGCAGACTTCAAACAGAAAAACAATGCATGTTCTTCGGCCCAAGAAAGGCTTCAAACTCATACAGCCTCTGTGGGATTTGGTTTAGGGTGTCTGTAAAAGAAGATCTTAGATATGTGTCATAGGAGCTGGCGAACCAGTTATTCATGAGCTCTTGTTTCGTTTGGAAAATGACAGAGTGGGGTCACACCAATAAACCAAATGACCCACTTCAGTGATTCAGGCAGCCTTTCAATTGAGGGTTCACACCTCGAAAACAGTGTAGGAAATGGGCTATGGATCCGAGGAGCTCATTTTGCATCAGGAAGTCTCTGTATACCAGCGTGTACTTGTCGCCCTCATAAATGATCGCCGGCAAGCCTGACAAAGATGGCTCTCTCATCCAAGGGCTACGTTCAGAATTCAGTGACAGCACGCTCACCTCATCAATCAGCTTCCCTCCAAACAGTCTTGTTTGAAATCCGAATCGGTGGTTTGGATGTCCTCCGGGGTGGCTTCCCATTTACTCGCAACACGAAGCAGGGCTTCGATTCCCCGAACCAATCCAAACCACCAACCTCACGGGTTACCTGACATGCCATGAATGAATTTCAAGAGTCGGAGCCCCTGACAAGTGGTGCAAAGGGCAACCTGACTCAACAAACCCCCCAAAACAACCGGCGGTTGCGAATCGTGATCCTAGGTGCAAAATGTAAAATGGAGGACGGGAAACAGGTTTGCAGTTGGAGAAACACAGAAAACAGCTCTCAAACCGTTTAACCAATTCCCATATTCAGGTCTCTCAAAATAGGGAACCTTCTTTTGGCTGGCAAAGGAAACCAATCACCGAAACAAAACTGAGAAACACCCACATTCTGTCCCACAACCAGTTGCGATATTGCAAGCACAACCAGTTGGGCTTGTACTCAAAATAGGGGGAGACCAAAAAGTGTCGCTACCCTTTAGACCAACCGTAAGATTCATTCTCCGGCCTTTTCCCAGGCTCTTTTGGGCGTGTTGGGCGTGTTGGGCGTTCTAAGTGATTTCCAGGAGTGTTGGGCCCCGAAAAACCAAAACACCAAACGTTCTTCTCTGATTTTTTGCGGGCGTTGTCCGGGTAATTCTTGGTGGGAAGAACGTCAAAAGAAACCAATTCTGAACTCTCACATGCGGAATCAACAAATTATGAGTTTAGTAGGTGTACACGACTTCATGAAAAACATATCAAGATTTCGAATGAATCTCCAGGACCTTTCAAAGGGTAACCTCAAGAACAAGTGTTCTTTTGGACAAGTAGATGGGTTTATCTGGTCAATGGACCGATCTGAACCTTTCGAGCGCGATCAAAAGGACACCTATGCTAAAACACACACACACACACACACACACCCTGATCCTAAACCCCGCGTCACCTCGCCTGTGTTCTCCGCAAGGCGGCCCACCTTGGCTTTCAGCTCCCGCATGGCCTCTGCCGTGACCTCTTCGGAGGTTTTTGTTTTGCGAATGGCGGCGCGGCGAACGAAAAAGGGAAGCCTTTGGCAAACATCTTTTCGGGCCGAAATGGGTGCCTGGAGTCTCCTTCTGACCCTCTAAAATTAGGTCCATGACCCAAGTATTTCGGGTAATCACCAACCATTATTTAAGGGTCAGAAGGAGACTGCCGGTGCGTCTTTTCTGAGGGGGCCCCAGCAAATTGCGGCCTTCCTTTCGGGGTCCACTTTAAACCCTCAAACAAACAGAGGTACCAAACCAAAAAAAAACGGCCAGCCCCCAAAATGTTCCACTTCGCTTGAAAACCTCAAAACAAAGTACCAACTGAAAAACAAACACCGCCAAAACAATGAAAATACGGGGCGGGGCGCTTGAAACGGCGTAAAGCCTTTTGGCCCTGGGCCCAAACTTCCAACTGTGGAACATCCAAACATCCAGTGTCAACCAGCCCAACTGGTGACGGATGTCCACCCAGAGAGTTCTGGGCCCAAGCTAGGGGTGCTTTACAACTGTCATGACCATGGAACAATGTGTGCAACAACATTAGCGCCTCATTCCTTGGCTGCTTGCGTGAAAGGCAGGGAATGAGGGAATGACCCCGAACTGAATCATCCCAAAGCCGGGATTGTGCTTAAACTTCGTCGGCACATGTTTTGCGCGACTGCAAGTTGCAGTAGTGAAACCAAGTCTTCGTTCATGTAGTTATCCTATTCTTAGAATCAAAACTTTTGGAGTTCAAGCCTATACAACCTCGACCAAATCCATCTGCAGATCCATCTGCAACTGCTTTCCTCCCATGTCCGAAAAATCACAAGTGTCCAAAAAGCAGTGGTTCCTGTGGACCCGGGTGCCGGTGACGCGTTTGAGCGAAGCTTCGCCTGGGGCTGACGGCGGCATGACCACTCCGCCGGGACGATTTCGGATCCAACGCTGCCGGCGCCCGAAACGGCCAAAAGGGCCGCCAGAGCCATGGCTCCATGGTCCGAGGCTTGGGGTCAACCAGCCACGGAATCTTTTGTTGGACAAGGGGGGGAGGAGGGGGGCAGTTTTGGACATTGGAAGTTGGAAAAAGTAGGTGTTGGGGGGGGGGGCTGCCAAGAGGACATCAAGCCACACTGGCTTTAGTGGCAAAGTAGTGAGTGAGTCCATGGCCCATGACCCTCCGAAATGGAACACAAAGTGGTGACTTTGACCGAAACCTCATATGCCACTGCTTAGCCCGGCAGGTTTTGTTCTGGTTCAGGGGGTCCTGTTTTTGAAGAGGGGGCCCCTTTCTCCGAGGAGAGAATAGCATCTGCTGGGTGATGAGGAGGGCAAGGAATGGACCCTGAATCGGCTGGACGAAGTTAAAACAGCTAAGCAGAAGTTCTGACTTGTTGCCCTTTTCTGATGTATTGCCTTTTGCCACCTTCCGGCAGAAACACCACCATCACTTCCATGTTACACTTGGAGGAACACTTCCAGCACCCCTTCACTGCCTTTTTTGCATGTCCCACAATCCCCAGTACGGTCCAAAAAGCAGTGCACCCCTCAACTTCTTTTTCCCATGTCCGCAACCCCCAGTACTGTCCACAAAGAAGTGCTTCGGGGATACATGCTGGTTGTGCGAAGTCCCTCATGTTGCATTGTGGGCCACGCATGTGTCGCTAGGTCCGGAAGGGCCCGACCAGCGTCTGGGCTGTCTCGAGCCAAAGAGTCTCAGCCGCTGTGCCGGTGGGCGTCTGAAAGCGAAAGCTTCGGCACATCTGGCTACCTGGAGTCTCCTTCTGACCCTTGAAAAAAGGGGTCATTAATAATTAATGGGGTCATGGACCTATTTATTTTGGGTCATGGAGACTCCAGGTCAATCTGACGATAATTGTTGGTGGGTTAAACACGGACACCCAAACACTCAACCAGCTAAAAAGCTAGAACACTTTTAGGAAGCGGATGGCCAGTTGAGCCACCAAGAGGACATAAAGTCTCCACGTTGCAGGAAGGCAACTTGCGCCGGATGGTGCATTGTGCGCACTCATTGCAGGCACGGGCTTTGGCATCTCCTTAGGCCCTGCAATCATTTGTTGACGAGTGGTCCTGGGAAGGAGAACAAAGGCAGCAGCCGTGCTTTGGCAACGTGTGATGCTACTTTCCATGCGGGACCTCTGTATTCAAAGAAACCAAGTCGCACTCGTCTTAATGCCAGTCAACAACACACCCCACAAAATAGCATTGAAAAGCAGTGACACTGGCCCATGTTGTCCTGGTTGACTTGCATAGCCCATAGCACTTCAGAGCTGCTGCAACCTCAAAAGGGTCACTTCGACATGCAACCGCAACCCCCCCCTAAGTCCCCCTCGCGGTCGCAAAGGGCGCGCCTTCATCTGTGGTGTGCCTCCTCCTAGAAGCGATTGACGGCCGTGAGCTGAACAGCTTGCAAAGAGGCGGAGAGCACACCCCGTTGACCAGCACTCCGGTCCCAACAACTGCATTGTGTCCATGTCCAAAACCCCAAGTACTGTCCACAAACAGCCCCATGTGGTCTTTGCACTGTTCTTTGTGTTGTGTCCAACAAACTTGGCAGCCAGGACAAAAAGCAGGAGTGACCCAAGAAAGCGAGGAGTGCCTGGTGATTGGGCACTCTTGCGCGCATGACTGAAGAAATGCACAAGGATAGCCACCAATTGTAAGGGTCCCCCGGGAGACATACCCGACGGCTGTGTTGCAAAAAGAGGGAACTTATAACCTTTTGGTTTTCCTCTCAAACCAGCCAAAAGGGGTCACCTCCAAAAAGACAAACCCATAGGAACTCAGATGCCCAGTGGTCATGGGGAAAACACAAGCTTTTCTTCTCCAACTAAAAGTTGTAACAGGGTCCCCGCCACTGGGTGAAGACCCCATGAAGACCCCCAACGGGAGGTGTCCGGCAACTCGATCCGCATCGTGCATCGGTCCTCAAAGGCGCGCGCCGTCGAGAAGGACGCCAGCACTCAGGGTGATACCTCGCGGCGAAGACTAAGGCTGCTTGGGACCTGGAAAAAACGAGAAAAAACGGTATTTGTACATGCCCCTGGAAACATACTTGGGTGAAGCCCAAAAGGCTTGCTGATGTTCATACCCCTCCCCCCAGACGGGGTATAATGTCATACGTACATATACCCTTTCTAAAGAAGGTTGTTAAGGAAAGCCTTGGGTTATGGACAAGGGGTTCAACTTCCACCAGATAAAACAAAAGGCGGGCATTTTTTTTGAAAACCCTCTGAAACCAAGCTGGGAAACGTGGCAACCGGTAACCCGGTCCTCAGTTCTTTGGGCCAAAAAGCACCTGGCTTGAAAGGAGAGACGAAATCCAAAAGCTTGTCGAGCGGGGTGCTCCTTCCGTAAGAACCTAGTTGTAACCTTGAGGGAGCAAAGCAAAGATCATCAGAAAGGGGGGGTGAACATTTTTCTAGCGGTTAATTCCCCATTCTGTTCAGCCGTCGTTCTTTTCAAAAACAAGCCGTTTCCCCAGGGTTTTTGGGTGGTTTTCGAGCAATAAGGATCCCTGGAAAGAATGGGGAAGCTACCCCTGGAATTTTAAGGAACCCCTACACTAGAACTCGGGTCCCGATTCGTGTCCGTCAAGTCCGAGCTTCTTGTTTGCCACTAGCATGGTGCAGACCCAAACAGCTTCAAGTCCAGGACCTCCGGGAGTGAATTTAGTTAAATTTCCCCGAACAGGCTTCTCCTGGGAAAAGTCTTCTTCAAAACAGGAGGGTGGTCAATTTCAGCCCCTGCTGAACAGCCTCGGCACCAAACGATACGGCAGAGGGGTCATTTGTATATCCTTGAGAATTCCCATCCATTGACATACTCCTCCAGTGGCAATGTGTGAAACTAGGGCACTAGGACCCCGTCCATTTGTTGTCTTGCTGGCATCAGTTTAACAGAACCCTCTTCCCCAAGGGGCTTTGTATCCTTTGCATGCCAGGAAAACAGGTTGTATACACTGACTCTGACTCTAAATATTATATGGCTGTGGGTCAAGAATAGGTACCCAAAATGGAACCCTCTGGTAGAAGGAGACATGAACTAAAACCTGCGGTCCCCTGGTGGTTTAATTTTGACCCATACCCATATAAGCACCTTTCCCACTAGTCTGGATGCAGTGGGCTCTCATCCTTTCCGTGCGATGGAGCTCCCGTTTCTCGCCTTTGGGTGGGGCCTCCTTGCAATTCCGCCACCAGCTCCGCGCCCAACAGGCTGAAGGGCCGCCGACCTCGGCGACTCGAGCGATCGATGGCGATCGGCGGGGTGTTCGACGCCCGAGGCGGGGTGTTCGACGTGGGGAAGGTGGGGAAAGCCGTGGCTATACCTCTGTTTGGTACCTCTGTTTGGTTTGGTACCTCTGTTTGTTTGAGATCTTTTTGGGGCCCCCTCAAAAATGACACACCTGGAGTCTCCTTCTGACCCTTATCAAAAATGGTTGGTCATTTCAACCCAAATAATGGTTGGTCATGTCCAAAACTCCTCGGGTTCCAAACTGTGGGCTTCCGCAATCTCAAGCTAGAGGCACCGGGTTTCTCAATTCGAACCAACAGAATGGTACCCTCAAAAACGACCTCAACCATATGGATTCCATATTATGGAACAACACAACAACCACCCTGCAACACCCAATGCTTGGTAAAGGGTCATTCCCAGTTTCCCTAAGAACAAGCAAGTGGTTCATGATTGCCTATATGTGCGGTGTGCCTTTTGTTGCGGGTACTCTTCTTGGTGCGATTTCACAGGGAAAACAGAGAGCGACTCGCCAGTTTGAAGATCCCTTCAGGTGATGGACGCAATCCATTTCTCACCGCCTAAGAAAATCTGGAATGATGCCTCCTGGTTTCCCATAGTTTCAAAGTCGCGCAGTTTGTCCATCCACGGTACACACCCGTAGTTCTAAGATTTTACCCCAGGGGCCCTAAGGCAACTCAAGTTTAAAGTGGACCGCAGGTGATGCTCGAACCAACCCACAGCAGAAATTAGGAGCACTTCTTTGGGGGCACCGGGATTTGGGGGTTGGTTTCAGGTGGCCAAAAGGAACACTCACATTTGTTTTTTTCCGGAAAAGGCGGGGGGGGACGGGTTCCCCGAGCTTGACTACCCACACGTTCCCTTCAGCCTTGGGAAGTTGCCGACAGAACTCCAGAAGTTCCCAACCAACGACATCCACATTGTAACAAACTCCAGGAGAAAGCGGGGAAAAGACCAAACAAAACACCACACCCCTATAGTTCTCAATTGAAAACACCTGCCGGAAAGCAAATACCATAACATCAACACCTGAAAACCCGGGAAAAAGGCAAACCCACAAAAAGACACACCCATATGTTCAATTTGAACACCAACAAGAAAAACCAATAACAATGCAAACACTTCAACTTGGTGGAACATGCGATGGCAAAAGCAGAGAACTATGACATCAAATGACACGTCGGAAACCCCGGTGTGTGGGGAGCAAGGAACAACTTTAGCTCGGCTGTTCAACCCACTCAGTTTTGGTAGGTACAATCACCTTGGCGACCCAGAGAAAGTAGAACACACAAACAATCTTAAAGATCTGGACAGGGGGATGGCTCCAAGATAGTTTCCACCCAAAAACAGGACCCCAGGAAAGATGGGGGTACCCCCGTAGTGGCTTTCTGGTCGGCCATCCCAACTTTCGGGGGAGTGTTGGGGGCAGTCATCTTAGAATCGCAGTGCTGGCGCTTGCATCGCCGGGTCATGTCTTTCACTGTTCGCCACACATGTGGCACTTTCTTTCATGCCTCACTTGCCCAAAAGACCTGGAAATAAAAGGTTAACCTTTTGAAACCTTTACTAAAAATGGACCAAAATGGCAAAACCAAAAGGTCAAAAGGTCGGCTTTGGGCAAGTGAGATGCGCAATGGGCACGAAACCAGAAACATCACTTGGGACCTTCAATAATTCGTAGACCCAACAAGGAAGAAACAGAGGACCAAAAAAGGTCGGCTTCGGGCAAGCCAAGTGATCAAGGAGAAGCGGTGCCTTTAAATACCCCTCTTTTGGTGGGGGAGCTGGAAATACATGTGTGTCCAAGATGGGTTGGTGTTATGTGGAAGTGTCTCATCAAACATGGATTCGGTTTTCCTTTTGCTCTCAATAAAACCAGTCCAGAAAGGGTACCATCAAAAAACACCAGCCACCCATGTGGAAACCTCCAAAGTGGCGGCTTTCCTTTTGGTTTCCCTTCAAAACCACCCCAGTTAAAGCAAAACCCCACCATAAACCATCGCCGCCGGTTTCACGATCTTGAACAGCTCGTCAAAGGTCAAGCAGCTCTTGAGCGGGTAGCCCCAAGGGAACTGGTACTTGAGCACGAAGAGCTTCGCCATGATGTCCTTGTCGGCAGCTTTCATCTCCCGGAGCAAGACGCGAGAGTAGGGCACCTCCAAGCCTCTGTTGACCAAGACTTTGTGGTGAGTCTGGCTCAAAGAAGACACCCGAACGCAGGACCTGGGCAAGCGTTTCTCCCCCACGCTGCCGAGAAGCTGAGCCAGAGTCTTGGCAAAACCTCACTGTGGTCCGCCAACCATGACGCCACATTTGCCTTGAGGACTTGCAACTGTGACTTCTCCAACCGCTCCCCCACCGAGGCCAACTTGGCGCAAGTGCCTGTGGATTCAAGACACATTTTGTTTCTTTTTCTGGATCGGCAGCGCAACGTTCAGGCGTAAAGAGTTGAGCCCAAATCCGGCTCAAGCCACTCAATAGCTTACGCACGACACAAAGCTGTGTCAAACATGCGAGTTTAGCTGACCATCTGCCAAGCCATGTCGCAGACAGTTTGCCTCAATTGCAAGGCATCAAAGTTAAAGTTGGTGCAAAACTGGAACAAAACAAGGGAAACATACCAGAGCAAAGACATGCACTGGTTCAGTGGCGATGAGCCATGCTACTCCGAAGATTTGCCATTTCTCTGCTCACACACACACACACCTTTAATTAGTTGCTTGATTCCGCAGCTCTGGAAAACCGACCACCATTCCTGCAAGTCCAGGTGCCTCAAAAGGATGCCATGTTAAGGGACCAGGTTGAGGAATTTTACAGTAGTTTCCGCTTCTGTGTTGTTTTTGTTCCAGATCGGGGAAATAACAGCCCCCACCGAGTCTTTTGCCCGGGCGTTCAGAAATCTGATCCGGCCGGCCGGATGGTCAAACGAACCGCACAGCTCTAACCGAATAATGAAACAACAAGACAATGTCCAAAAGCATCAAAGCCTTTGCGCCACTCTGCCACAATGCGCAGTCCCAGGACGGAAACAGCTTGAAAGCATTGCAGGTTTCATGCTACCAAGCTTTGAGATGGACCGTAAACGTGATATGCACGAATGAAACGAAAGAACTGGTAGCCTGCTTTTGGAGCAACCAGTCCAAAAACATGTTTGAAACAATGGGGATCTGTTGTAAGAACATTTAATGTTTGTTGTTGTTTGAGTTGTTGTATTTTAATTTATATTGAATTATACTTGGAAAAAAGAGGGTCCCAACCCATAAGAAATGACTAAAGGCCATGAACTCGGGGAGTGAGAGCTTTCAGAGCAAATCCAATCCGCTCGAAAACGCTGGGGTCGAGGCAGTGGTAACATCTGTGGCCCAAGTCCCTGAGAAAGGACATCCGATTCGCGCTCCGATGCTCAGAAGCTCGGCCCAGTGAGTAATTTCCACTTGCTTCTTTGACCATTGGGGTACCCTCAAACAATGGTAGTTTATTTTTGGTTTCCCTTTACCAACCAAACTTCCATTAACTTCAGCCCAGTGGAAAAAAGGAAAACATATGTCCAATAGTAATAGATTCCCTTTAAATCCAGCTGAAAATAAAAATTCATTTCAGCAACTGGAAGAAGTAACAATCAGTTCGCGCACCCAACCAACCAGCAGAAATTAGCACATAGTTAGGGATCTTTCAACAAGGAAATCGGTAGGCCACAATTGCGGATTTTATGTGCCAATCGCTTCTTGGAACTAGAATGGGAAGCACAAGAACTGCGCAGAACCGAGCCTCTCAGTCTTGGGGAGCCGAAAACCAATCCGAAGTGAGTCGAATCCAGAACTTTTGCGGGTAGCGGACACAGCGGCCTTAAGGCCAAACACTACCTGACGTATGGTAGCACTACAAACCCAACAAGATCAAGAGGTGCCCGGAAATCAATGACTCATATTCATAGCTTGAATGGAATCTCTGTGAACTTTCCGCGTGTGTGTTTGCTCGCTTGTAAAGAGGAAGACTGGCCATGCTGCATTGCATATCGAGCATATAACAAGTCGTATAACTATGTGTGCGTATGATGTTGGAAAACACACACACACACACACACTGACCGCGCCGCCAAAGTGATTGGTTCCCGCCTCCAATGACTACGTTGTCCCTTACAAAGGATCCTCCAAAGGCGTCACAGAATCGGAATGCTGACGCCCAGTGTTCCACAACCATGTCTTTGTCAGGCTCCATCTAGCTTTTTATGCTGGTCCCCCAAACACAACCAGACGGTATGGCCTGAACAGCAAGAATGGGATGGCCCCAAGTGATTCAGACCAAGGTGCCAAACCCTGCTCCAACAAGAGTGCTTCTCAAACTGGTGTTTGCACTTGTTTTGCTGATTGAAAGGAAAGCCAAAAAAGAAACCAACGACTTCGGGGGTGACCCTAACTTTTCTGGTTTGTTCTTCCCCTCGAGGGTCGATCACCCTGAGGCTCACTGGACAAGCCGTCTGTTTCTAAGACCTGGGACGGTTCAGTCACGCTGAGACCGCCACGTTGATGGCACCACTCTTTTGGTTAGGACCCCCCCCCCCCGCACAACTCGCTTCCTGAGTTCATGCCCCAAAAACAAATCTGAACGTTTTGCCTGCCGCTAAAACTGTCTTCCCAAAAAGCGACTCAATGAACTCGGGAAGTGAGAAAACCTGCAGCCCCGCTCACCTTGCCTCTTGTTCGCGGGTCGGCCGTAGGCTTCCCGCTCACCTACACCGGCCAGGGGCTCTGCGAACCAACGCCGGCTCCTAGTCCATGTCCGTTTCAGCAGTGAAATCGATTCCCCTAAAAACTGCGGAAAATGAACAATATTCATATCAGCAAATGGAAGTAGAAGAATGCGTATACAAATGCAAATATATACCTATATGAGTAGCGGACAAAATCCTTAACTAAACTCAATGCAAGAAAAAGTTGGGATAGTAAACGGTTCTCAGTGCTTTCAGGTAATAAAGAGGGTGTTAGTTGGTCCCTAATCGGTTTTGCAGGTTTGTGCCGTTTTGCTACCTCCAAGGCACCCTGACTACCAATGAGTACTACTCATGTAAGTAGATATACATGTGTATGTGCATATACATATATATATATATATATGTATAATATGTATGTATACATAACAAAAACATATCATACACGAAATGGATTCCCCAATTCCAGTTTTAACGGGGCAGGGATCTTCTGTTTGGCACCCAAACCAAACAAGTGACCAAGCCAGCACCAAGCATGACCAAAAGAGTAATTTTGCATTGCATGCCAAGCAAGCATGTGCCATCTGCCATTTGCTTAATTGCAGAAATTGGGCGCTGCATTGTGCTGCAAAATGGAGAAAGTCCCGTCAACACAAAAGCCGACATTAGCTCAAAGTCTCTGACTTTTGTATCCATGTAATTCGCGACATCTTTTTTTCGCGCACAAGACTTCCTCACGAGTCTTCATTAAACGGGCATGAGGTTCTGGAATGACATGCGTGTGTTCACACCGGGAATATGACCAGAATGATTGTGTTTCTGTATTTGAAGACGCACAAATCCGAGGTTTTAAGCTGTTCCGTTTACACTACCTGGATACTTGCATGTGGTCTACGTCCTCCAGATTTGAGAGGTTAGAATAAGGGTACCCTTTTTTCCTGTAGTCTATTTTAGTGGGGGAACCCTCCCCCAAAAATGGTGGTAAAAGGGCACTGCTGGGGGGGGCTAGTATCTGTCATCTCCCCTTTTAAGGCAAATGGATTGGTTTACTCTACAGCCAGGGGTCCAACCCACTCCAACCTTTGCGGGGAAACCTGAAAAGGCTATGGCTCTTAACAGGGCACCTCCAAAGTAGTTGCTGAACATAAATGTTCACCTGAATGTCCACCAAAGGTTCCCCTTGGAAATCCTCCATTTGCTTGAGTCCCCTGGACAAAAAACAAAACATATTCCTAGTTGTGATATCGAGTCCTTCTAAACTCAGCATAGTATGAAATCGTTTCCCTTGAAACAGGGGAAAATACAAACTCGTGTGTTTCCGCCACATGGAAGAAATATACATCCCAACAAATTCCCGTCTTGGCTCGTGCAGCCCTGCCCGAACGACGCCTGCCAGCGGCCGGAACTCGGCGAACTCGGAGACCCGGACCTCCGGCGGTGGATTTTCTGTTGAGTGCGCTGGATGCTTCGATTCGCCAAGTTCAGTCGGTTGTTGGGACCCTCTCACCAGCTCACATGGAAGTGCAGAGACCCCTGTAGAAAGACGACTTTCCTCTTGGAAAGGGCCTGTTTGCAAAGACCATGTTTGGTGGGAGGGTAAGCGTTGGGTGATAACCCACGTGTTAGTCCTCCAAGGGTTCACCCAATTGGCTCACCAACTAAACTGCCGAATCGAACATCCAACCCCGAGTGACCAATTGGCTGCTCCCCAATCCTCCAGTTGGCGGCGGGGAGAAAAAAACGCGGAGAGCCTAGCAAGACGAGCGGTTTGAAGGCTTGCCACCATTCAGGTCTTGAGTGGTTTGGATTGATGGCTTGGGTTGAATCTCTGGGTCTTGTAGAGGGTGCGATCCCTAACCAACCACCAAGCCAAACCACTAATCACAGGCCAGGCCCCCCCGATGGCCGGTAATTGGCGTCCTGGGTGAAGTGCCGGCAATTGACCAGCACTTGCTTAAAAATGGTTTTGTAGTCACATAGACTTTTTTGCCATCATCAAAGTGCAGTGCAAAGTCACTTTTGTTGAAACGTCACTTCAGGATACCAGACAGGATCCGGTTGAGGGGTTGGGCTGACATGTATGATCATTGCACATGCAACGCGCGGGGGCGGGAGGGGGGGCGACACGCTAGTGACACGCTCACATCCCAAAAAAGTGACCGTTCAACGTACATGTGCCGGCAATTGGCCACCCCCCGACACGCCGTGACACGCCGTGACACGCTCCTCAAGAACCCCTCCCAACCTCAAACTTGCCCTCCAAACCTCAAATCTGCCGCTCTCCCCTTTCCCCTGCAACCCCATTCCAAAGGACCCTGGAAGGTCACTTGTATCATTGCACAAATTGCACTAAGTACAGATGAGTGATACTTGCTAGCAAATTGGTTTTGCAGTCACTTAGACATAAAGTGACATCGTTTTGCCCAAAATCGATGTGCCGGCAATTGGCCAGCCATTGGGGGGTGCTGGGGGAAGCTGAACTTTAGTGTGTGCCAATCAGTTTTCAGACCCAACCTATAGGCCCTACAAATTAACATGAAACCAATGGAACCCCCGTTTGGGAGTCGGGACCCAAGAAGAGATGACGCGAGAGAAGATTCCTCAATACTAGGCGAGGAAAGCAACCAAAACACTGCAACCCTTGCGCAGAATCTACTCGTATCACTCCACTCAAATGTGGTCCGTTGTGGTAGTTACCCTGTTGACCGCAGTAGTACGTAGTCCTTTGGAGTTGTTCTCGGTGTCAACCGGGGAAGGAGGTGGTGGTTTTTAAGATCAAGCGTTGTTTGGCAGTACTGAGGCGCTCGAGTGGCGATTTGAACTGGGTGCGGGGGAGGGGGTCATTTTGGCCGACACGTCCAACGTGCATGCATGTTGCATCGCTCGCAGCTCACATCCAACTTTGGAGCATTGGCGCCTTGTTCAGCAAGTGTCCGTCTCCTTTCATTTCCTCAGCTTTTCCAACTACGTGGGTGTGTCTTCTCTCTAGGCTGGAATTAGGACCCCAGCAACCTTAAACAAGTAAACAAAAAAAAGGGTTCCTAATTCTGGGGAAGCTCTTACATCACCCCCAACATAACTTCCATCTTCCGCTGGGTTTCCCTTGAACACGCGCGGGCGCTTCGCTGGGCTTCCCCACGCTTCCATGGCCTCCTGCGCCAAAGTCCAGCCTCGCGGAACTTTGGGTCTCGCCGTGTTTGCATTCAAAATTCTGCGGTCCACCTGGACATTTCCTGAGAGAAACCAGGGGAGATCCTCGGGTTTTCCTAGAATCATTGACGTTTTCCCACAGAACTGCGCATGTGGATACTTGGCTGTGGGTCAAACATAGTTGGTAGCCCCCCAGCCATGGCTTGAACCCGATCGGTTTTTGAACGAATCATGGACTAAAACCTGGCTTTGTCCGATTCCTGGTGGCAAATTTTGACCCATACCCAAACATGAGGTCGTGTGGTTTGAAGGTAACTACCGCCCCACATTTCCTCACTTCCTGAGTGGGTTCAAACTTCTTACGTACCACTCAAATGGTTTTCCCGACAGTTCAAAGTCCAGGAACGGGTGGGGGGGGGGGTCTTTTCCAGGGAAGCCATGTTTCCTCTTTAAACATCACCACAAGGACATCACAAGGGAAACTCAGGAGCTTTAAACTGGAGGGTGCACCAAAAGGTGATGTTTCAGCCAAGCAAAAGGAACAACTTCAGGGAACTTTCCCCTCCTATTGTGTTGATACCAACAAAAGACCACCCACTCTGGCGGGTCCTTTTCTTGAGTTTTCAGGAAACTCAAACAATGCGAGATTGGTGTCTTTTTTGCGAGATGTTAACAGAACCCAACTGTTTTGACATAGACCCCCTGTTTGGGGGTGCATACTAATTTGCAGAAAAGTAGGCCCCCCAGAAGGAAACACCCAAACACCCGCGTCAGACATCGGAGTTCATCCTGACCTGCTAACTGCAATCACGTCTCTCCATGATCATGAGATAACTTGGTCCCCATTGCAAATAGTTAGGCCCTTCTGGTAAGACGGTGAATGTATACGCAAACAAGCAATATGCACGCTTTCTCACAACTTAGCACAGAGCATCGCGTGTGTTTCTGATTTGTGTGAGCCTTGCATGTTGATTTCGTCCTAAACCCCAGGCGTTCGACATCCTTCCTGTCACCTCAGGGATCCAGCGTGGACTACGGGTTTTTCAGAAGTCTTTTTCAGGGCAAACCTTTTCTTCAGAGCGCTGTGTGCTGGGTTGAAAGGGAACTTGCTTTGACCAGGTGTCCTTTTTGGTTGAAAATAGATGGGTTTCCCTGCTAGTTGATTGAACCACCAGGCAAACCAGGGCCCTCCATTTTTTAACCAAATCAACCAAAAAGGACACCTACGGCTTTGACGCTACAGAAGAGCAAGTTTCGGCTTCCATGGACTCAACTTGGCAAGTGGTCTGAGGTTGCGCCCAATTAGTGGATTGGATTGGTTTGGACTTGGATTTGAACCCTCTTCTCGTTACCAGATTTCGTTGGAAGCAGAGGCTATTCGGCCGCAAAACTCGCAAGACTGCACAGAATGTGGTTCTTGTAGGTGTTATGTTACGCTAACCTTCTGGCCGAAGGACGCGCCCAGAATAGTGTCCATTTCTCGCGACTTCTCGGAAACCCACTCCACTCTGGAGTGGAATTCCACCACCCTTCGCCCCAAACAAATACATGTTCCTGTCTCAGTGCTTCCAGGCAAGCCTCTACAGTAGGTAACCCTTCGGGAGTCTTTCCAGGCTGTACCATGGATGGTTACCAGATGGTCTCCATGATCCTTTAAAAATGGCTCAATGACCCCATGAATTTGGGCCATGACCCAATTCTTTGAGGGTCAGAAAGAGACTCCAGCCACAAACACGCGGCTTGCCTGGAAGGCAGGTGAGTGATTGATCGAAACCAAGCCTCGACAGCACCCGCCTCCAGGTTTCAAAGGCAGCCTTCCGAATTCGAGAACTCTTTCCATGGGATACACAGAAAACTGGAAGTTACCACCAAGAGACTTGCTGGTTCTCAGCAGGGAAGAAAGGAATGACCCCAAAAAGCATTGTTTGTGGCTTCCTTTGAGGGAATCCCCCAAAACTGGTTCATTCGAATCTAACAGCCGGACTCGGTCATTCCCCACCTATCGCACCAGCAAGAAAATTGAGCTAGACCTATCCCGAATGTTTCAAGGGGTTATCAAAGTCAGAGACTGCCAGCCGGAAACCCCAACGACCCTCCCTCAAGGCAACCAAAAAAACCCGCGCCACCAAACAGAAGTTGTTCCGGACCCGGGCGCTGGTTCACGAAAAATGATTTGGAAACGAAATGCAAACGTCATGGCAAGAAAAAGGCATGGAACAATAAAATAAATATGAATGTACGAATACATAAAGGCATGGAACATTCTCCTCTAAAAGGCATGGCATAGAAAAAGGCATGAAAGAGAATGGACAAATCAACTTGCCTTGAAGAGGAGACCGCAGTTTGGGCAAATATGACAAGCATTAGACAAGAGAAGACGGGACGGGCTGTTCCCCTGAATCCTGGAAACTTCCCCGGTCTCAAACTGAACGCGCCAGGGGCTGGGGAAGAGCACGTTGCCTATCCACTTTAGCTGTTCTGAAAGAACAATCGAAAAAGCAAGGGTCGCTTAGCACTCAGCAACGCAAGTTGCTATTGGTTGGATCCCAAAGTTCCTGTCACTAAACAGGATTCCTTTGAGCTTCATCCTTGAAACTCAAATAAGTTGCGGAGGATCTACTCAGCACAACCCAGGTGAGCAGTGTGCTTTGCGCACCGGCGTTGTGGCATGGCGCCAGGCTTCTCACAGCACTTGACAACGACCTGGACGCTCACGCTACCCACAAAAAGAGAATTCACCCTGTAATTTTGAGCAACATACTTTGTTAAGGAATTGTGAGTGTCCAGGTACAACTTAGCATCGCTCCCTCTCTTGTTGCAGATGCCCACATTTCAGAAGACGCTATGGAGAGCTGATATCTGGATCCCACCCGAATTGGTCGTCGGAATTTGGTGCCGATTCAGACATAATTTAGCTTGGGATTCATGTCGACGACATGAACCTGTTGTTTGAGGTGTTCTATTAATTTTCATAGCCACGTGCCGAAACCATGCAGAGAGACCCCGAGCTTTCAGCTGGGGATTAACATGTTGACTCTGCTTGCCCACTCAAAAAACCGAGCTGTTGCCACGGGGGCGCCGGCCTCGCGTGCAGGCGTTTCACCTGGATGTGTCAAGGTTCAGGTCCCAGATTCGCTATGAGACTTGTGTCTCAAAATAGGGGACCCCAAAAAGGATATGGTTTTGAGACAGTCTGTTTTCGGGTTCTGTGTTTGGTGAGTTTTAACTGGAAACCAAAAAAGCATATGGTCTTCCTTCTGGTTTCCAGTTAAAACTCACCAAACACAGAACCACCCGAAAACAGACTGGCTCATATCAACCTACTCCATATGGAAGCTCCCAGGGCGTCCCTGGTGGCTTCCATGCAAAAGAGGGGGTGAACCACATGTAGTTCTCAGGGCTGATTCCCCATTCTTTCCAACCATCTTTCTTTTTGAAAACCGGATCCGTTACCCTGGATTTCCGAAGGTTTCCTAGAAAGATTCGGAAAGAATGGAAATGGAAGGTATCACAAGAGTAGTACTCAATTGCCGGATCCTCGTGCTGTGTCCTACAGCTGCCTGAGCAGACTAATGAAAGGGTCACAATGTGGGCCCAGCATTGGAAGCAACCTCATGGCCAATCCACTCAATTTTTTGACCCCCCCCCAACCCGTGTGCATGGTGGATTCCCCTTACCGACATCCAAGCAAAAAAGCAAATTGCAGTAACATGCATGATGTCCTGTGTGTCCATTGCGATTTCCGCACAAAAATACCAGGCGCTCAGTTCACACCAAAACCCCTTGGCGGAATCTCAAATCAACCCGCCCATTCAAGGCGTGTTTGAGGATTTGAAGCCTGCCGCATGTCTCCGTTGTGCAACTGTCCTCTCGAAGTTGACGGGCAGTTGAACAGTCAGGATCTCAGCCACGACAAAGGGCTCCACCTGTTGCCAAAAGATAGACAAGTCCTTTTGAGAACTACACAGCAAAAAGTCTCAGGGTATGGTTGGGAAGCGCGAAGGTTTCTCTGACGACAAAGGAAAACCAACCCAACGAACCACTTTTTGCCACGCCGCTGGGAGAGTCCTCTCGGGAATCTGCGAAAGCCCGCGAGGCATGTTTTGGTTAACGGTTCCAACAGGGTGCGCACACAGTGTTTTTCATTGCAGTGGCAAGGTCAAGGATACATCCCAAGACATTCCGCATGTCCCATCTAACATTCCTTCAGGATCCCGATTGATTTGGGGGCCTCACGACGGGTCGGGGCTCTCCATTGGAGGGTAAACAGTCACATATAAAAAAATCCAGCCGGGAAGTGACTCGGAAACCCTGACCCCCCAGCTAAGCGCAACCTTCGGCTTGTGGTTTTGAGAAAACCCTCAGGCGAGTTTCCCTTTGCTGTCCCTAACACTCCCAAAAGGATACCTTCAACAAAAAGACAACCCCGGGTGCGGGGTCCCACAACCCAAAACTCCAGTGACAGAGTGAAGCACAAAACAGGATTGCATCTCGAAAATCCTGGAGCCATGGTTGCCTAACATTTTACAGAGGCTTCCTGCCATGTCTTCCCAGAGTTCCGTGAAATGGAGAACAGGTTGGGACAGTTTGGAGCCCTGAAGGCTCTTGGATGTCTGCATCTCCTGTCTTTGGCTTACGCCCAAACTTGCTGGTTCTCAGCAGGGAATTTGGGAATGACCCCCATAAACCATCCCTTGTGGTTTCCTTTAAGGGAGTTTCTAGGTTCATTCCCAACACCCAGACTTGGTCATTCCCTACCTACTGAGCACCAGCAAACCTATGTACCCAACGAGGCAAGGGCTTCCAGAGCCAAACGCGATGCAAGGAATAAAACAAAAAACAACAACGACGAGCGGCGCCGAATGACTCTGAATGACCCAAAATCCGTGCACCTTCCAAAAGCCAACCCCCTCATGCCCAGCATTCCTCGCATTTTTGCTGACTAGTACAAGTACCTCACTTTGACACACAACTAGATTTCTCCAACAGGGAACCTCTGAACAAAACCGTTTTCCTTGCCCAAAGGAAAAATGCAAATCAAACCCCAGAGAAGACCCTTGTCTAGGATTTTCTGCTTGCCTGCTTGCCCCTATGGTGCAACCTACAGCTCCCAACTTCCATTGGCGTCACCAGCCGAGAGCCAGGGCCCCCAACCGCCACCTGCGTCCCCGGGGGGCGCGCTGTCCTTGCACAGACTTGGTAGGTTCGGGGGATGGCTGTCAATGCTTGCGGCTTTGGGCGTTTGGCTATTGTGTTTCCCAATAGCTCAAAGCTAAGTGAAGAACGTGTCTGTCTTTTTATTCGGGCCCCCAGAAGTGAAAGGCTATGATTTCGCCAGCCCTTAGCTTAGGGGAAACCCAGTAATCGGGGTGCATTTTGTTTGACCCCAAAAGTTGGTTGCTTTATTTGGTTGGTTTCCCGTTCAAACCAACCAAACAGGGGTTGTTTGCCCCTCCAAAAAAAACAACAAGACAAACCCATTTACCCTCCCACCAATTCACATGGAACCTGGCGTTCGGGGGGTCTTGGTTTGGACCATTTCCCTTTTAAAGGGACCGGGTCCCTGTGAGGTTCCATGTGAAAAGGGTGGGAGAGTGCCAAAACTTCTCTCGGTTGCGAAATCTGCTCCCCTGCTAAAGTGTTGTTTTTTGTTTTAAAGAAAAACACATTTTAGTGGTTTAATTCGGAAAACCCATTAGTTGGCAAAAAGTTATCAAGTCCTAACATCCCTTGGCAAAATGCACCAAAGTTCTTCCTGGGCTTTCGCGAAAATCGAATCCGCCGATTGAACAACTCGCCGAGGTGCGCAGCGCCGGGATGAGCTCTGACGGGATCTCCTTGCAGGTGGGGTTGAAACGGTTCCTATAAACCATCCAACTGGTCTAGGTCCTCCAGTGTGGAGCTTAGAATAAGTTGGTACCCGTTGTTTAGTCTATTTTAGTGGGAACGCTCAGAACCCTCCCCCAAAAAAGAAACGGTAAAAGTTAAAAGGGCACTGCTGGGGGACCTAGTGAGGGTAGATTTTCTTCGGGGAGGCCAAAACGGTTCCTACAAACCATCCAACTGGTGGATCCGCTTATTCCCAGAACGCCCCCCCAGTTTTGACCATGGAGACCTTTCTCTTGTGGTTGAAATATCATCCTTTAGTGGTTGTCCAATGGTCATCCTGCACAGCGGGCTTCCCTCCACTGAAAGTAGTCTTCCTTGGAAAACCCTCCTGCTATGATGGGAGGGAGGTCCAAGGACGTTTTCGCCATGTGGGGGTACACCACAGCTACTCCGAGCCTGTCGATGTAACTCAAGAACCCGAAAGGTTAAGGGTTACTTGGGCTCTCGGCACTCGGCTCTCGCCTGTCTCCCCCGGTCCTCACGCGAGCTTCGCGGGGCCTTGCGCGAAAGTTGAACACGGGCTGCCTCAATTCATAGACCACAACGTGCCCTTTTTGCGCCTTTTCTGAATTTCCTTTTTTGTTCTTTCGTGGGTTTGGCTCCCCATGTTGCTATATGTTACCACGCTGGAATTTTGGGCATGCTTTCCTTCTAGTATTGGCAGGGGACCCTGGACAAAGGGGACTGTAGATATCTACCAGTCATGGAAAGGGGTGAGAGGAATGACCAGCCAGTCGAATCCAGCTTTCTCCTTTTCAGCTGCGACTCGAGCCACATTCCGAGTGCCACACAGCGGCGGCCGCGCAGAAGGCACGAAGGCTCGCTCCTACGACGCCACTCGCCGAGCTTGGAGCTTTTGGAGCTTGCCGGCAATCGCCCATCAGGGATCCGGATGCATGACAACACCTGAACATTGCAACTTGTAAATGGTGAAGTTTCCAACTTTATGTTGGTGTTGAAAATGCAACATGTTTCAAATGGTTACGCAAAATGAAGATCCTTTTTTTGGAGCCCTACCCATGTTTTCAGCTTCCCTCAAGTTCGTGCTTTGGAGCCGAATCGGTGGTTTGGAGGTCTTCCTGGGTGGTTTCCCATTTACCCTCTACCATTCATATAATCCAAACCGGGCTCCAAACCAAGTGGGTACCTGATAGTTGCGTGGGGCAAAACCAGCTTTTCCAACAAAGGTATATACAAAGGATCCAACCAAATCGCAACGGGTTGAGCATACTTGGGGTGTTTGTTCGCATGAAATTGCTGATGGCCTCAGACGACTCACCAGCCGCGTTGTTTGTTTTTGCGGGTACCCGTGTTGGTTCGCTTTAAAGGGAAACCAAAATCCAAGAACCCTCCATACTGTTTAAGCATGCCCGACCCCTAAAAGATTCGTTTCATGAGGGCGGGGTATGTTGAGAACTCCGGGTCCTTGGGGAAAAAGCGACCCGCTCGGAACAAAAAACCGTCCTCTCGCATGGGCCAGGCACACAAATGGGGCTGGCTGGTCTAAGCAAATATTCTCGGGTTCCATGGGGCGTGGCTTTTTTGAGTAACATCCATTTGCTTAAGTCCCCTGGAAAAAAAGAGAACATATTTCCAGGAGTGATAGATTCCCCTGAAAACCAACAGGGGAAAATTGCACATGTTCTGAAGCAAATGGAAGGCAATGGCCCACAGAACTCAATGAGTCTGGTTCCACTGGTACACGATGAGAGAAGGAAGACAGCAAGGCATCGGGAGTTTTGTAGCAAAAAGATGCGCTCCGTTGAATGCAACAAGGTGAAAATCATTTCTGCAACTTGCAGCGACACTGAAGCACGGGGATGTGTAGATCAAGACACATGAAGCTTGGGAAAGCTGCACAAGAATCCTTTCATGTTTCTTGGTGTTTATGTGGCTTGGCGTGCTCGCGCGCGGCCTCCCAGCTGATTGAACCAAATATGACAAGCAGCGTCTACAGGCAGTCAGTTGAGACCTTGCCCGCATAGCGGGCAGGAAACATGTGGTGAAACTTCAGAGCAACCTCTTGCAACAATGACACCAGACTAAGAGTTGATGCTAAAACAAGAGTGTTATGAAACCAGGAGTGCCGGAGCTCACTGAATTGATGTGAGTTGAAGAACACTGGAGTAAACTTGCTCAATCTGGTACTGCCATGGACCGCGAGCACTGATTCATCCCCTACTGAATCAGGCATCGTAGCTTTTCCGGCACTTATTTGGGAGTACCACCTGAACAAATAATCAAACAGGTGTCAGCATTGGGCTGGATCCAGCTGCATCTGCAGGGCACCCTAAGCAAAGAAGCAAGAAAGGCGAGAAAGGTAAGCGACCTGTTGTGCTATTGGGGGGCCTTGCCTCAAACGAGGTCTCTGACGAAGCACATTTGAGCAATAACCCGATGCTTGAGGGGTTCGTCTGAGCTTTTTGCTTCGATCCGCAGTCGGAATTTCCTCTACATGTCATTTAAGCATCACACAGACACCGCCTAAAGGTTTTTCACTTTAAGTCGGCGGTTCAAGACCACCAACAAAAGACAATTTGGAGAAACCTCCCTTCCCCGAGGTGGAAAGATGTGTCATGGATTGGGAGTTGTCCTCGCTGGTTCGTTGCAACTTGAACATTGTGTGTGTGTCAACCCCAAATCATTGGTGCCGGGTCTGTGTGACATCGTCAACTCCAAATTCATGTCATCAACTCCATGTCTCACTTCCGATCAAGCGGGACTGGCCAACAAAGTAACCACGATGTGTTTACCACTAAAACGGTCCAGAGCCAAAAAGTGACAAAAAGTCCATGAACTCAGGGAGGGAGATGTCAACTCCAAATGGTGTGCAATCAATCCAAAGATTTGTGGCACCTCCCCCTTCCAGCGCCCGCCTTTTCTTTGTGAGACACGATGCACCCGTCCAATTGGCCGCCCGAAGGCCGATAACTCGCTAGCGGAGTGCCGGAGGACCGGAGATTGCTGAGAAATGGGTTTCGGTAGAGGGCGCTCTGGTGGGGGGGGGGGGGTTGAGGGGTCGGAAACATGCCTAAAACCAATCAGCGATTGCGAGAGAACTTCAAATGTTGGTCCTGGGCTGGCCTCAGACCCCTGCTCAAAGTTCGCAACTTTTAGTCTGCTTTAAATGGAAACCCAACCACTAATCTAGGGGAACCTTCCCCATTCGTTTTAGGGAAACCCTCTTTCTATAAAGCCTCCAGAAACCCAGGAAAAATTGCTGGTTGTTGAAAAGAACGATGGTCGAACAGAATGGTTGGAATCACCCCCTAAGACTAAACCAACTAAAATCCAACAACCAAAGGAACCGGAAGACTGGGAACCACCAGATTGTCCAAGGCTTCACTAAGCGCTTGAGCGCTCACTGCCTGTTCTCGGCCGCTCTGGCCGGGAGCATGACAGGCGGGCGATACCCGTCCTGAGGCCAAATGAGCGCCCAAAACCCGCGGACTTGTTTGGTTCTACTAGGATTGCTATGAAACCATGGCCACTACGGGGCTTTGCGCGATGAAGTGGTCTTGAAGGCGGAACATAAAGGAATCTGGGAAGCCGGGTAATGGTGCTTAGAGCCAACCGTTTCTGGGCATTGCAAGCTGCCAAGTGGCCAAGTTGCCAGCGATTGCAAGGCTTTGCACCCGAGTTGGAGTGGGGTTGGTGAATTACCCACAACTGGTCGTGAAAAGGGCAGGCAGAAAGTCGGAGCACAAACCGAGATGTGCTTAAGGGCCACATGCGCTACTTTGCATGGTAGCAAAGCGAAAAATCGCGCTTGAAGAAACACACAAGAGCTGATATATGGTAGTACATGATGCATCATCAAGCGGTAAGGGGTTATGCTTCTTCTCCCAGAAAAAGCCATACTGAAAGACGCTAACCACAAACGCCGTTTCATGCCGTAAACTGCACCAGCATCATGCCTGGTGCCGTTTTTGCCTGCTTCTAGCAGTGGGGTCCCCATTCTGACTGGCCAACAATAGCGTCTTCTACGTCGATCGTTCTCTTATCCCATTGAAAGCGATTTTGGAGCCATCAGGTTTTGGCAAAATATGGATAGCAGTGCTGCCTAAATCAAGAAGAAATGGAAGTTTCTGAGTGACAATGGACTGTTCCACCTCCTTTTCCAAACAAGACTGTGCATGTGATTGAATATTTAAACATTCGTTCACACCTACATTATTTCGCACCAGTGTATTTTTCAAGAACTGCACGCAAGTAATGCGCGCTCCTTGTGGGCATCGTTACCATGGATTTGTTTACACTATAGCAAGCGACCCGTCACAAAGCAAAGCCTAGCCGAATGCGCTTGACAAGGTTCGGTTCTGAAGGTGTTTCTTCAAAAAGCGAGGGGCGCCAAAAGGCAAAACCCCAACCCTTGATTTGTGGCTCCTAAGCTCTCATGTTCGGTTGAACTGAAAGCACACATCCGATCCTCATGGTGTTGCACGTATTCCCGTTTGGCCGGTGATCCTGGTAGAAAAAAGAAAAACACATTGTTGTATTCTTTGACCCATGTTTGGTGGACAACAAATCCAAACAAAATCATCTTCGTGGGCCCCTAGAAGATCCTATACTCCAAACAGATCAACCGAGGGTCCCATAGAAGCTACTGAACGACTGCTTTTCCCCGGAAAGAACCATCTCGCAAGGCAAGGGGAACTCCCACGGGCCGCGGCCATGTCCTTTGGCCGCGCGGGCGGCACAGGAGGCGCGCGTGGCGCAGGCGCACCAGCCGGCCGCTCAGGCTCCTCCGGAGCGCTGGTTCAAACGCGGGTGGCAGGGGATTCGCCCCCCGCTTTTTTCATTCATAATATTAGATAAACCCGTGGCCTCTGGCCTAACCCCCCCCCCCCCCCCCCTGTGCTCACCCCCCCCCCCCCCGGTGCTCACCCCCCCCCCCCCGAATTCTACGATTTTCTTGGTGGGCTGTGATTTGAGATCACTTCGCCACTGGAACTTTACGCAGAATGAGATCTCCTCCGATTCCAGTAAGGACTGGATCTTAAGTCTCAAGGAGCTGCTTCCAAAGGTCGAACAAGACATTCCGTACATCGACCACACCTGGTGGATCCGACGCAACAATCTAGTAGGTAACCAGTCATGTTCCTTCTGGTCTTAAAGAGTGGTTGCCTTAAGTAGCTACTATACGGACAAATCCGCAACATTTACAGTTCCCAAGCCTGAAATAAGAATTGAATCTCTAAGTAGGCAACCTACAGTACTACGAGTCACGGCTTTCGCTCGTTTTACCCCCGAATAAGTGAGCTCGCCATAAACATCCCTTCCTGAGAAGATTAGCCAAACAAAAACAAAAAAATCAAATTGGAACGAAACATGGTCCGAACCCAACAAGTACAAAGTCCAGCAACTCACCAGCACCCGAACAGCTGCCTCGTTCCCATGCCCAAACTCCCCAGACCGCTAAACAAAAGGCACTGGTTGAGGGGTTGCTGACTGCCTCTTTCCATCGAGTAGGTCGATTCGTAGGAGACTTATTTCCTGAGTTCCTGGACTTTGGTCACTTTTGGGGAAGACCATTTTGGCGGCGTGTTTACTGTGTTTGGCCAATCCACTCGATCCGAAGTTCGGCAATTGTCGTTTGCGAAACTCCCAGTCGTTAATTGTAGTCTTAGGTTCCAGGAAGAAAATGGAATCTTCACTTTGCTTAAGCCAACATATTCCCAGTAGTGATGGATTCCCTTTTACAACCAAAAAGGAAACACCAACCAAACAACCAACCAACCAACCAACCAACCAACCAACCAACCAACCAACCAGCCAGCCAGCCAGCCAGCCAGCCAGCCAGCCAGCCAGCCAGCCAGCCAGCCAGCCAGCCAGCCAGCAGCCAGCCAGGCAACCAACCACCAGACCTATTTAAAAATTAACAAAAATCGATAAAAATCGCTTCCAGCAATCCCCACCCTCCACACTCACGAGCTTACGACCATAAACACGGTTGTGTAAATTCAAGCATAGTTTTCGAGTGGCTTGGGGCCTATATGAGACAGCGTCAAAATTACTTGTCTGGGGTGTATTCATTTGGTGTTACGACGTCCCGTATCGTTTTACAGGTTTTGCTTAAAAAGGACATCCCGTATCGTTTTGCAGGCCGTGGATACGGGACACATCCCTGCCCCCGTGCTTGCTACCAAACGATTCTTTGCGGGGACAGCGCCAACGAAACAGCAACGGAATGGAAGCTCCCACAAGCGGGCGTTCCCCGGTATAAAGCCACACGGCGGCCAAAGCGCAATCCCTGCAAGCAAAGCAACTCACACCACGAGCCGCAGATTCCTTTTAGTCCCCCTCAGACTTGAGGAGGAGGAACTTGCACTTGACACAGAGTCCTCCTCCAACGGCTGTTGCGCCGCTGCTTTTGCCTAGCTTTGCACCTCTTCTCAATCAGCTCTCCCCCCTTGCTGGGTCCGCCACGCTTTCTCTCATCTCGTTGCCTCCTCAAGTCGGCGTGCCAGCAA